TGCCCGTTGCGACGCACGATGTACGATATCGATAAAGCGCGCGCCATTCTAGACGCTGGTGTAGCGTTGCCCTCTCACCACGATGCTCGCGCCAAAGTCCCTTGGACTACTTGTAGCCACCTGTGCAAGCATTTATTGTGCAAGGGCTTATGATGCTCAGTTGCCACTCACTGGTGGTTTCGCAGGGCGCTTGGATGTCGTGTCTCTGAGCGCGCAGGAGCAAGAGGCGCTTCTGCAGGAACTGTACGCTAATATGGACGTCGTCGACCTGATGCATATGACTGGTCATGGTGCTGGTCTCGATGACGAGCGCCTAGTTCACATGTTTGGCGAAGACGAGGCGCGCTGGATGACCGAGGGCGATAAGCTGCGGCTCAAGAAGGCTGGCTATTACTTTGCAGACATCACCGAAACGCCAAACCTTGGCCAACTCAACGCCCAGCGCCCATCGCAACTCTACAGTGCTCCACTGCTGTCAACTATGACTGATTCCGGGCGCAAGGATATTCGGCGGATGTTCACCGGACTTGGAGACAAGCACCTTCGTGCCGACATTGAGAAGCTGACAAGCTTCTGGAACCGTAATGCATATAGCAATTGGGGGAAACTGTCGAGCGAGTGGGTGCTTGAGCATGTCAAAGGCATTGTGTCTGGTGCTTCGAAGCTCAACACCGATGTTCGCCAATTTGCGCACAAGTTCCCGCAGTCTTCTGTCATTGCACATCTGGAGGGCGCGGATGACGAGACCGCCAACAAGACACTCGTCATCATTGGAGCACACCAAGGTGCGACTATTGTGCCTTTTGTTCCGCCGCCTTGCACTGAAACTTTTGGGGTATTTTTTTATTTTACTTCTGGCGCATTTTTGTCGGGTGTTCCACCCTTGTCCATTTCTGAATCCGCAGATTCCTTAAATTATGCTATGCCATATCACAGGGTGAGTTTCCAAGCATCAGTACGTATGCGGAGGGCCGCATTTACTGATCCAAATATCCCACTTACATACAGGCTCCCGGAGCGGACGACGATGGATCTGGTAGACATCCAAACAAGTGTATTGCTTGACCTATTGACACCGGTTCTTGCAGGAACTGTGACAATCATGCAAATTCTTCGCTCCCTTATCGAACATGAGTTTGTGCCACCGAAGGGAGTGGCCCTCGAGTTTCATTGGTACGCAGCCGAAGAGCGTGGACTGCTTGGCTCGCGCGATATCGCCGCTTCGTACGAGAAAGCAGGCGCATCGGTCAAGGGAATGCTCCAAATGGACATGACTGCATGGGTTGCGAACGGAACAACGCCCAAGATCGCCTTCTTTGACGAGCTTACGGATCCGGAGCTCACCAAGTTCGCCGCTGGCTTGGTCGAGACATACATCCCGCTCCCGTGGAACCTCACGGGCTGCGGTTTCGGGTGTGGATCGGACCACTCGAGTTGGACCCGCGCTGGCTACCCAGGTGAGCCCTTGTGTCCAGTGGAAAGACTCCTTTTTTCTGACGAACCGCACTTGTGCAGGCATCTTTGCCACAGAGGGGTTCTTCAACGGTGGGCACAATTGCGTTTGCGAGCGCTTGAACTAACACAATGCTTTGGCGGAACAACAGACTTTCAGAAAAGAGTCCACACACCGTACGACGACCTTAGTGAGGTCGACAAAGAATACAGTTTCGAACACATGCTCGAGTTTGTGAAATTGGTACGTCACTGTGCCGAGCTCACAGGTCTTGAGCTCATCAGAATGTCGAATCTAGGGTATTGCCTTCGTCGCCGAACTATCTGTTGCGTGAACGCCGGCTTGGAACAGGGTTGAATTGTTGGATTGCCGGAATCGGCACTGACGGTTTGGTATCTTTGTTTTCTTCAGCCGACAAGCCGAATACAGATTTGGTGACGCATTCCGATAGCATTTTGACTTGTGGGAGATTGAGCTCGTGCGATGCAAGGGGCTTTGACCGACAACTAAAGATCGACAGGAACGCCGTGCAATGTCCTCGGAGCGACGTGTTTCAGCAGCGCCATTCGCATACATCATGACTGCGGGAGTGTGTGAGAAAAGAACGCATTGGATATGACCGCGTAGGATTGCATCATGATCGCTCATTTACGAAGCGGGGCTTGTTTCGTGTTTCGGTCTAATACGCTGCCAAGCGGTCCATTTCTCTTCCCCGCTCTCGAGCGTCCCGGCCATGTGCAGCGGTAGCAGTCGAACATGCTCAATCACGCTCAGGAAGTGGTTCAGGCGGATCCTCGCCTATGCGGAAGACTGAACCGCGCGTGGCAGAGCTCTCATTGAGGCAGGGACTTACCCTCGGGGGTGCACGATTCGTAACCGTTCTGTGCTCTTGTGCACACCAACAACACGCACTCACAGGGTTCACAGCCTGAATGACGCCGCAAATGAGGTAGTCCTGATGCGAGGCGAGCTTGCTTAATGCGTCGCAGACTCAAAATTTGCGTGACAACGAGCGACGCATATGTGCGCTTTTTTTTTTTTTGCAGAGCTTGCGGTGGAAACCGATCGCGTGGTCCGCGTGGCTGAAACCGAAAAAGTTCATTATACTCTCGTCCTCGGCTCCCACTCGGTCGATGGTCTGTTCTAGTAACTCTGGTTCCAGCCGAATATTACCGCCGTCTGTTTGCTTGGCATAGCTTTAGCTCAGAGACGACGATCACGGTGTGGCGACCGCCGTCAACGCGCATATACACACACAATATCTCGGGCGTCACGGCATAAAACTCCTTTCCTTTCTCTCTCCTCCTCTCAACCCTCCTCCGTGCCACCTCTCCCCTCGTTCTTGCTACCGTTCTTGTTTGCACGGCTGCCTGACTCTGAACGCGCAGGCCTCCGTCTCTCTACTACTTCCTCCTGGCCACCGTGGTTGCATTTGGCCCGCGAGCGGCGTGGCGACCCGCTAGCGGCGAAGGTCAGCCCAGTGCGGCTGCTCACGCCTCTGACCACTGGTCAATGCACCCCGGCCGGCAACAAGGGAACCATAGTGCCGCTTCGCAGGGGTCGTCTTCGTCTGGCACCGGTCACGCCAGTGCTGCGTACGGTAGCCACGACCAGCCACATTCATCGCTGCCTCCTCCGCTGCCCCCCGTCCGTCCGCTTTCCGCGGCCCCCGTCCACCAGCGAGACCATGCAACGCGCCATCTCGCTTACTCAACCCCAGGAGAGATCGGGTCCCAGTCACCTGCCACAAATTCGAGTAGCCAAGCGCCAATCCACCCAGGGTGGCAGCGACCTGGCAGCCACTTTTCTGCACACGGTCAACCTCTTCACCCTCATTCGTCTTCGCCTATCCCTCTTGCTGTATCTCGATCGCCACTGGGCGGGGTTCTCATTCCGCCAGCCCGCTCACAAACACCATCCGTTTTGTCGTCATCCCCATCCCACTCCCCCCACTCCCCTCAATCCAAGGGCAAGCAGCGGGCTTCTGATTTAGGACCGCAGCCTGCACGAGAGTTGAGACGCGGGTCAGTGGATATGAGAGAGGTGAGCGTGCGCTAGCCCGCCGAGGCGATGACCTTCCGGCCATTTCTGCTAACTCCTTCTTTGACAGCTTAGCAGCTCGTATCGCAGTATATTGGAAGCTGCTTCTCTGCCACACATGTCGTCCGCAGACCCAGCACAACGCCAGCAACGGGCTGAGACGCTACAACATATGCATCAAGCTGCGCTGACGAGCCTACGAGCTCTTGACCCTCAGCGCGCACACAGCCTGCTCGCTGACAGGCGGTCCAACCCGACCTCCGATGTTCTCGCACGAAGAGACTCGGGTTCTGGAGCAGACGGCAAGGATGTGAGCATATCCTACATCAAGCGTGGGATCTGCGGGAAGTGCTCACACGATCACAGGGTGCTACCGGGGGTGGTTCCCCAACTGTCCGAAGGTGTCTGGGGTGCGATGCAACGGCAACGCCAGAATGGAGGCGGGGTCCTAAGGGTATGTCAGACCAGATTTTCTTTGCGCCGGTTTCTGAAACTCTGTTTAGGACCGGGCACGTTGTGTAACGCGTGCGGCCTCGTGTATGTAAAAATTGTACGCACGCACCGTCGTTGGGGCACTTCGTTGTCCGCTCGCAATCCTGGCAACTGACAATGTGCTCCCGCAGACCAAACAGCGCCAAGCAGCGCAGTCTCAGCCTGGGGAACCTACAGAGCTCGAAGTCTCACCGTCCTCACGCCGCCGTATTACCAAAGAGGAAGACCCCGAATAATTACCAACTAATGCAATCCTGCCCCTCGATCCCACAATCACTCATCAATTGCCAAACATTCCTACCTATGCACAGACTCCCGCCATACGGCGCAATCAGTTATGCCCTAATAATTGTTCCAACGACTCTTAACGACACAGCAACGACATTAGATTATCACGTTTTTACGAGCTGCCGCAGCTACGTTTGCCTAGTAAAATAGTGTCTGCTCTAACTCTCGAGCCATTGCTATCGCGCTCTCGCGCTATCTTGCTCGCTCCTCTCATAGAAGTAGCGTATCCTGACTTCGACTTCAAGTTACTAGTTGCTCAATGCATTGCGTTGCCACACTGCCTCGGGCTGTGAAGACCCTTTGTTTCCTAGCGTGCGAACCTCAAGATAGACCCGTTCGAGACCCTTGAGCTCAACCTTCTCGTCGGGGACCAGCCTCTCTCGTCCGACAAGGAGCGGGTCGAGAGTCTGCTGCATCTAGTAATGGATGACGCACGCTGCGCCTAAGTGCCGCTCTGGGCTGTGGATTCGAAGCATTGTGATACCAATGTAAATCCAGGTACTCGCTAGTGTGTGTTTTTGCGGCCGCAGAGAGGTTCCCAATACACAAGGGATCCCTGAAAAAACCGATGAATGGTAACGCAAACGGCCGCCGCACTGTTTCACCACCCTGAGACTCAATCACAGCAGCTAGTCTCACGGTAAAGCATATGGCACTTGCCGAATACTCTCCCCACCAATTTAGCCCCATGAGGGCACCTTGTAAGGTCCTACCGATGGCCAAAAAGCGACCCACCCGAGACTCGAACTCGGAACCCCTAGCTCCGGAAACTAGTACGCTAACCATTGCGCCAGCAGGCCACACACTGCTGATGCGGTGCAGTCCATCTATAATCCTGAACCTAAGATCGCATTAACCTCAATCCATTTCCTCACAATCAACCTCCAACGTTGGTATCTTTGCGTGGAAGAAAAATATACATGAAAAGATTCCAAAAGAATGCGGTGGTTCAGGCAGCACTATTTGCGCGAAGAGATTCAGCAGACCAGCATATAACGAAAGCAAGGCTGAAGATCCGGGAACGGTGTAAACTATAATAAATATGGGCAAGCAAGAGCGGTCAGATAAGACCGCATGCCTTGCTGAGGAGCCCAACGAGAACTTCCTGCAAAGCCTGTCAGATGAGTGTAACACGAGATGGCGCAAATCGCACCTTGGCTTCTTCGGAGTCGGTATAGAAGAACCAGGGGCTCTCGTCGTCTTTGAACTCGACTGCAAAAGAGTGTGGGATTGACATGATCTCATCGTGGCCATCCCGCCAGGTTGCGATCCGTCCAACGCGTCCTTTGATGCGCAGGACATCAAGTGGCTGGGGGTCCGCCTCGTGCTTATAGAAAGTCATCGTCTCGTTGTTGAGTTCAAAGTACCGCCGTCGCCAGACCGTCGTCCAGCTCGTCTGCACGGTGCACTCTCCGCTGAGCGCCACATCCGCACCCCCGGCCTCCGCGATAAACTGCTTGGCAATGGTCTTGAGGCGGTCTGTCTGCTCCTTCTCGTGCAGTTGGCGCTCCTTCTCCTCCATCCGGCGGGCCGCTTCGGCCGCCCGTCCGTCCGCTTCGCGCTGCTTCTGCGCCTTTCGCGCTTCTTCAACGCGGCGAACTCGTTCGGTGGCCTTCCGAGCCTCCTCCTCCTGGCGCTGCCGCTCCTCCTCAAGTCGTCGCAACTCCGCCTTGCGCTGTCGCTCGGCAACCCATCTCCGGCGCTCCTGCTCTCTGGAAAACAGCACTAGTCAGCAGTGAGCTAGCCATAAATTATAACGAACACGCACTCGTGCCGCCGCTTCTTGTTCTCTTCTTCCTCCTCGCGCCGCTGCTCCGCCAGCTTGACCTGCCGTCGCCGCTCGGCCTCTTCCTCCTCTTGCCTCTGCAGCTCGGCTGTTTCTCTCCGCTCGCGATCCCGCTTCTCCTCGATCTCTCGCTGCCGTTCTTCGAGAGACTTGCGAGGCAGACTAACGCCGCGCGGCAAGACAGGCATGCTCGGTATTCTCCCGAGCGATCCAGAGCGAGGCATCGGTGGCGGCGGGTCATGCATCATCGTGCTCTGGCTGTAATGAGAGGCCTCCGTGTATGCAGACGAACGCAGGCCAGCCGGTGCATTTGATGCATACGAAGAGCCGCGGTAGTACGAGTGGATGTCATCGGGGATCGTGGGAATGGTCGCTGAAGGCGAGGGGGGTTCCATGTCGTCAGGATTGTGGCCAGGATAGCCAGCGCCTGGAATGTAGACGAACGAGCCAGTTGGGCTCTGCTGAACTGTAGCGTCTTTCGGAGGAGGAGGGGGCGCCGCGTATAGGTCGTCGACATCGTCATACGCGACAACGTCTTTGCTGGGTAACATAGGAGGGACTGGTGATCGGGATCGCGAGCTTAGGGGCGAGTACATCTGTGGTTCGACGGGCGAGAGTCTGCGCGATCCGGAGGTCTGGGTGGGGGACATGACACGAGGAGTTGTGGCGGGAGAGTCTCGCGGACTTGCCGGGCCTGCGCTCGTTGCAGTCCGCAGGTGCGTATCCGAGACTGACCGAGGCGTGGGAATGTCAGTTGCCGAGCGGGGATGAAAGCCATTGTTAAGCGACTCTGCGCGGATGGGTATGCGAGAAGGCTGGATGGCGAGCTCTGGGTTGCTGGGGGCATCGAACTGAGTCAGGTTGCGCTGGCGAGGAAGTGCATCCAGCTTGAGCTTTGACCGGACCGTCTGCTTTGAGATGTCGGTCTTCTTGTTGACACTCATGGTGGCGTGGTGGGCCTAGAGAACGACGTGAGATGACTGTAATGGGTCGTCTGAGACTGTACCTTGAAGTTGGCTGCAACGGCGCGGGAATGAACGAGTGCACGTGCTGCAGTAAGTGCGTTGGTTTTTCTGGACAGACAGGGAGAATGAGGACGTCTGCTGCACCTTTACGGACGGGTGGCACGGACTCGGGCACATAGCTGATGAGACACTATATAAGAGATGAGCAAATATGTGAAGGGGATGTTAGGAGCGCACGCACAAAGTAGCTGCGCTCCTTCTCCTCCTCGCGACAGAATCCGTAGAACACGTCGTTGTCTGGTAACGCCTGCACGAGCGCGTCGATCCCGCCGACGCCGCTCGCGAGTAGAAACAGCTTGTCGCGTGTCTGCGCTCAAGGGTTAGTGCCACATTGTTCTGCATCGCAACGCAGCGCGCACCTGCGCATACGTCAGGAGCAGCCTGGAAACAGGGTCAGAGCACAGCCAGCACGCGGGGCGTAGGTACTGCACCAGTCAAGCTGCTTGCCGCGCACTTGCTCATACGCGTTCGCGATCTCTGGCGCACTCAAGTCGACGGACATCGCAGCCGCGGTGCAAGACGCATACGGCTCAGTCCGACGATCCGCTTCTCTTACGACGCGCCTCAGAGACGCTCAAACCTGTCAGGGCGACGCCGTGACATGCCATTGCGGTGCTCGGTCCTCAAACAGAACCAGACAGTGAGAGTTCTTTGCGGGGTTGTGAATTAAAACAGAAACTTTACATTCTGATACAGGTCTAACATGGGATTGTCGCCATTCATCAACTTCGTCTGATCAAGGTCGGCGTACGTCTCGAGGAACTCCCGGTGCGAGTACACACCCGAGTGCCGCAGGCCGATTGGGAGGCCACTTGCAGACACAACACCGTCCATGGGTTCCCTCCGACCGCGAAAAAAAAAGTACTGCGCACCGTCGACGCTTGTGGCAATCGAACCTAGGGGCGAGCTCCGACCTTGGTCCGTGACATGGTGTTTTCGCACCATCACCGCTTCGTACACGTCCCGCAAAAGCTCAAAGTCGGTCGGGAAGAAGATGTCAAAGTAACCTGGCGTGACGAGGTACGTCGTTACCGGCACCATCAGGTTGCGGAACCGAGTCTGTACAACGGGAGCGTCGTGTCCGTCGATGGCCTCTGGGAGAGACGAAAAGTCGGACAGAAGCAGTCGATGTCGAGGGAAGTGTGTCCGTAACCGCATGAGCAGGTCGTACATGCGCGTCGGAACAAAGTGTGGCTTGGACAGGTTCGGCGCGAAGGGTAGTTTGTGTCGAAGTTTCCACCACGGCGTGGAATATGGCGTCCCGGGACGCAATGTGCTTCGCAACGAGAGGTAGGATGAGAGTAGAGGATCTCGGACCGGTTCGAAAACTTCATGGTACTCGCCGCCGTCGTCAATGGCGATCATGGTTTGGAAAGGCTCGCCCGACTGGGCGTGGTAGCGCACGATATCATGCGGAAAGTTATCCTGTCATGAAACTTGAGCAAGAGTCTCAATAGAATATGACAAAAACTCACAACGACCTCGAGAGCGAGGAAGAAGCATGGTGCCCATTCTCGTTGCCTCCATTCGAATATGCTCTTGTTGATCACTTCGACACAGGAGTGATGATGGAGCGAGCGTTTCTGGTTCTCCGCAAGACTTTTGCTGATTTCGATGATGCGATAGCGCGTGCGCTCGTACACGTCCGGATAGCGTTCGCGAATAAAGTCGAGAATGTTGGTTCCGAGCGTTCCGTTTCCTGCGCCGACCTCATATATGATGAGGTCTTCGTATGGGAAGTACTTGAGAAGATACTCTGAGACGAGGCACTGCGCTATGGCCTGCCCATACCATGGCTAAGACAACGTAGGTTAAGGACCAGAAGGCAGCAACGACGGCAGGGCAACTGACTCTGAAGAGCTCTGTGGGCGTGTGCCAGATCTGCCTGCCTGGCCCGCTGTCCGGGTCGACACCGAACTCTTGGTATCGGTCAGCCACAATACCATCAAACTTGAGCTGATTACGAATGTTGCCAAAGTCAAAGCCCTTGGCCGCATCGTCGCCGGTGGTAAAGATGACGGCACGTTTGGCAAAGTAGCCATAGTGCGGATTGTAGAGCGCGTTGTCGATATAATCACGCGCGAGCAGGCGCACCTCGGTTGGCGGGCGGTCGCTGCGCGCGAGGTCCGTCGCGGTCACGAGCGGGTACGCGACCAGCTTCTCGTCTGCCGAATCGGTGAACAACTCATCGGAGATGTGTTTTGTGCGCAACACGCGCGCGGATGTGTGCAGGGCTTGCGCAAACGAGAGCGGGACTCGTGTTGCGGCGCGCCATCGCACGCGCGCGAGCATGGACAAGAAGCAGTTGCGCCGGACATTGAACCGCGATTCGCTTCTTCCCTTTGGCCGATGGCGTCCGAAATTGAGCTCCGCGTGCAGGCCTACATCGCGGCACAGCACGATAGCGATCTCGATGTGCTCGTGGAGGGTGCGGGCAACCGGGATTGTGCTTGACACGGCTTGACAAATTGCTTGCAGCGGCTAGTACAGCTGCACCAGCGCTGCTTGAAGTCGTGAAGGCTCTCGGACCGTATCTCACATCCGAAGATGAGAAGCTGCGCGAAAGTGGTATGTTGACATCTGTTCGTCTGTAGTCTCAGCTGATCGCAGAAGGCGTCAGCTTGCTTGGAACGATCGTGGCGCGCGTGCCACCCGCACAGATGAACAGGCATGCGAGTGAGTTATGTCACTGTCGGGAAGCTATATACCGTGCTCAACGAGTTGATTAGCTCGGACGATGCTGGCGTTCTTCTGTCAGAAACTGGAAGACACAGAAACGGTTATTCCGGCTTTGAAGGCGATCCACACACTCACTGCACTACCGACATTCACCGCTGAGGACGCTGTGGCAACATGCGAGGCGTAAGTTCTCGCTATTTGGCTATTTTGGCATCTGATGTCTTCCCAGGTTGTTCTCTCACGTCAAGACCAAGGCGCATGTGCAGTCGACGCGATTTGTGGTCTACTCAATCATCGACAGCTGTCTAGC